CTGTGCTTTGGGACTCATACGAGCTTCCAGGAACACAAGTACCATGGGGCTTGAAACAATATCCTAAGGATTGGAAGTGCAAGCTGGGGCAGCTGCTGTTCATGGTCAGCCGTGCTCTGCCTGCGTCAGTCCTGCGAGTGCCCTGCCAGCAATGAGCTCTCTAGTTACACTCTGTGGCTCATCCTGGGGGAGCGTTTATTGGAGACTGAGTGACAGGAATGAGCCAGAGTTTCTCCCTCTGGTAGTCTTATTTCTGTTTTAATCAGTGTTTCTTTCATCTTGGACATGACCATTTTATGGAAGTGAAAACATCAGGTTTTAGCATAATTTGGGACCTGTTATGTTAGCCCAGATATCCTTCACAGTGATGTTTTGAGGCCCTAGTACCCCAGGCCACCTTTTTTTTTCTGCTCCAGGAGGATGCTTTCTTCCAAAGCAAATACCAGAGTGACTGGAGAGAGGATCCCAGGTGCAGTGATAGTGACCAAGGCAGAGTATTAATTACTTAACCTCTCTTAACCAGCTGAGCCCCTAGTTTCCCCCAGGCCTTGCTCCAATTCCATTTCCATAACCCACAGAATAAAGGTGACAGCCTTCAAGCAGAGGCTAACATTTCACATATGGACCAGGCAAATCACATTCAGCAAATGTGCCCGCCTGCCGTTTCTCTCAGGGATGGCACTGACAAAACCACGCAAAACAGGATAGCAAACAATGTTCACCAAACAAGTACAAACACCACTGATGCACCATTTTCCTTGGACAGGGGTGAGAGGGGGAGTGGGAGAGGCCTGCTCAGGCATATGCCATAGCAGTTTTCTACTTGAGCCAGCAGACAATACCACAACCTAGACAGCAAAACATGTTAGAAGTTGAAATTCAAATTATTTCAGATGATAGTAGAAGCTTTCAGCTGATCTCTGCCCATCTGTCTGGAGTCACAGCACCCTTCTGCCATACAGGGGGAGCTTGTTTTAGTCATGATTGTGGATTGAGCACAGAAACTGCTGCTAGGGGCAGGCTCTGAGTTTACATGGTGCAGGATGAATTACTGCCTCTCCCTCAGCACTAGCAACAAAAGCTCACGCTGTTTTATTCACGTGAGTTTCAGTGTCGTAATTCTTGACTTCTGTGCTCCAAGCGACTCTCTCACGCAGTGCACGGCAGGGCAAGAGCTGATGGTTGCATCTCCGCAGCATCAGCACGGCCCGGTTCTGCTGCTCCAGCCAGCGGCACCTGCACAAGCTGCAGGCGATGAAGAGGAGGGAGGAGGTGGAAGAAGCGGCACATCTCTCGCCGCTTCCCCAGATGACAGCATGCATCCCTTTCCTCCTCATGCGCTGCCGGTACCCGACGTGAAGTTATGGTGCTGAGCAAATGGCACCCGCTGGTCTCGCCAGCTCCCAGCAGGATTCCTTCCCTCTCAGCGCACAAATATCCGCAAGGAAAAGCAGCCTAGATCTGTCGCTACTGCAGGCTTACTTTTCAAGGAGTCCCAGATTTCCTTGTCTGCTTTTCCTATCTTTAGAGGGCCCTGAGGCACGGAGGGGCCTCCCCAGGGCCACCCCCACACATTCTGCCCGTGGCTGGGAGTCCCACCTCAGTCTGAGCTGTCATGAGACAGCAAAGGCTAGTGGCTCCCCAAGGAATATGGCTGGCAAGGCACCATGGGACCCATCCTAGTGCACCCAACAGGGGAACAGGGCAGGCCCAGAAATGGCGGCCAGGCCCAGGCACGAGCCCTGACCACAAGGGTCATCATGGTCAAGATGAGAATCCCATCTGCAGGCCAGGGTCAGGCCCAGGCCCAGTGATAGCAGGGCTGTGGGGATGGGCTTAGGGCTAGCTCATTGGGGCTCATGGCCCGGCAGGGCAGGGCTGTGGGGAGCTGGAGACAAGCCCTGCTGCAGCATCGCTGTGGCAGGGGCTGAGATGGAGTCCTTGGCCATGGGCAGAGTGATGGGTCGCTCTGGGGGCCTGACAGGGACAGTCAGGACTGGTGGTGCCCTTGGGGCCCCATCAGCTGGCTAGGGCCGTTCAGGCTGTCTTAAAATGGCAGAGAATGCCTCATTACACTTCTTAAGACCTTCTCGTGTCATCCAGGTCTAATTAAAGTTCACGCTGGTGGTACAGCAACACACAACCAGGTGTGCGTGTGACAACATAACCAAAAAAGGAGAGAACTGACTTGTCCTGGTAGACAGGACAGAAGAAAACTGGGCTTCTGGAAAAAAGTAGCAGCAACAAGTTCTGGCAAAGCTTTCCCTTTATTTACAAGCCCACATTGGAAAGAAATGCTAGTCACCCATTTTGGACCAAGCCTGTGATTTTCAAATGCGTCTTTATTGATTGGTTGATTTAGCTCAAGTAGTATGAACTTTATTTTACAAGAACCTGCAGCTAACCAACACAAAAAAGAATTACCATCATTACCTCTTACAATACCGGACTAGCGCAAAAACAGAAGTAAATGCCACAATCCAGTTAAAAGAACCATAAAATAACTAAATTAAACTGTAAACTCTACATGTAACAAACGGCTGAGATTAGTCCCACACATGTCACTTAGAAATCCATCAGCGGGAGGGGAGGTCTGAACACAAAACCAAGCACTCCAGACGCAAACTTTTTCTCTCCTGAGCGTACCTAAGCATGGGCTTGTTTGAGGCAACACACAACCACGTGCTTGGCAGCACACGTGTGAGCAAGTGGGACAGCGACAGAGAGATGTATACCACCTGCTCACATCTCGTCTTTTACCCTAGAAAGCCTCCTGGGTCTGTTCTCTGCTTCATAACATTCAAACCTTCCTAAAACAAGAGACTGATGTGGATTTGCACCCAAAGGTTGTGAAAAGAGCTTGGTAATTGGAGGAGAGTGGGCCAAAAGGAGAGGACTGATCACTCCAGGCAGAAACTGAAGTTATCTAAGTTGGCAGTAGGTACAACTCATCCAAACGCATTTATTCCAATGAGCACATGATGGAACAGCAAACCTGAAGTTCAGGATGAAAAATGGGGGAATACTAACCCACTAATTTCATCCCTTGCTCCCCCATTTTCTGTCTGCTTGTTATGACTCCTCTGTCTACATCCTTTACGTACCTTCCCTTCTTTCCCATTCATCTGCTACTTCCCATACCACACAGGCAGTTACCCTCCTGCCCAACTACACTGCCTCCTTGACCTTCACACGCTTCTGCCAGTGACTCCCACTTCACACTCCCAGCCTGCTCTTCTGTCTCATGTACCTCTGCGGAACAACAGTCAGAGAAGGCTGAAACCTGACTTCCCATCTCACACAATCAGAGGAGCACTCACCTTGATTTCTCATTCTTGAGGAACGCAGAGACCTGGGATCTAATCTAACTTCATGTAAACAGATCAAACACCTTCAACTTATTTTGGAATCTGCCTGTCTCCTTCTTCCTTCTTGGCTGTTCCTCCCTCTTGGTCCCTCCCTTAAATGTAGGAATGTTTACAGTAATTCAGGTCCCGTTTGCTGATTTTTAGATAAAACCCCAGAATTTTCCTGAAAGTCAGCTCACTCCCCAAACCCCATCCCTTCATCTGAGTTATGGCAGTTATGGGAAAAATCTGCTGTTTGTGCCACTGAGAAGAAACTGCTTTGGCATGACAGCATAAGGCTTGCACAGGACAGCATCTATCTGGTACCCTTCTAAGAACAACACTGGCTTAAAATAAAATACTTTAAAAAAAAACTACAGAGAATCTATTCCCCTTCAAGTCTAAAAGCACCTCTCTTGTGGCAAAGAGTGGCACTGTTGTCCAATCACAAAAAGCCAGCAAAACACATGTGGGAGTGACTGATTTCTTCCGCTTGTGCATTTGGTGCAAGAGCTGTACAGGGATGAGACATGGAAGGAAAGGCTAAACCCACAAGACTCCTGCCATCTTCAAATCTGCAGAAGATTGGTACAAGGACAAAACTGACATAGTTTTCTGTGTTCACCAATAACAAGACCATTAGTAGTTAGTTACTTTAATGCATAGCAAGGGAGACTGAAGTTAGGTAGTAAGAAAAGCGCTCTCACTTGAAGGCTAGCTAGGAACTGGAATAGACTATCTCAGCAGCCTCCAGGATCCGTCTCAGTGAAGTTCACTAAGAACAGGTTAGATGAGCAGCCACGGTGGACATGTTTGGTATACTCAGTCCTGTCTCAGAGCTGGAGTGGGCTAGTCATTCTCTTGAGGTCCTTTCTAGCCCTATGCTTATGAGTTTATCAGTTGGCTACACTGAAAAGAACAAAATGGTCATCTCAAATTTTTCTGTCCAGCACTTGCAATTAAAGCAGCAAAGAAAAAAAAAAAATTCCTTCCTTTTTTTCCCCAACCTTCACATCTCACAGCCAAGGAGTTCCCAGCCCTCAGAGTTAGTCCTTCTAATACTGACAGAAGTGACGGGAAACGCAATACTCTTGGAACGCTTCACAGGTAGGAGCTGGAGTGAGGACTGTCAGCGCAAGACAGCCTTGTGTGGGCAGAGAGAAGTATTTCATAGCTCACTGGATGCTCACAGGAGTGCAGCCCGTGCCACGGGCAAGGTGTGACAAGGTCAGTGTACAATACATGGCATGCCTTCTTCATCCAATGAAAGGGTTACACAAAATGGCCATCCTGCCCAGTCAGTCTCCCCTAGCTCCACCACACTGGCTTGTCCAGCACCCTCCAGTACTGGCTAACTACTTCCAGCTGTGACAAGAGAAGAACTACAAACAGTGAAGTCTCCCCATCCCTTAGCACAGAACCCCTCGTATCACCTTTTCATACACTGTCCCCTTACCCTCCCTCCCTCAATTAAAAAAATAACAGTTATAATTAATGCATGGAAGGTGATGGCATTGTGCATGTGGTTCACTTCCAGTACTCTTCCCCTCTTCTCAGGCATCCTCCTTCCTCCTCTCCAACAGCCCCTTCCCCCCTCCCCCCCCCAATCCATTCCATCAGTCCATCTCTCCTGCATGCCTGGGGGGCTGGTGCTCACTTGCCATAGACGCTTTCATCGCTGTAGGCCACATAGAGAAAATAGTCCTCCTCGTGGTTATCCTGCAAGGGGAGAAAGGGAGAAAGTAACAAACCAAAGCCCTGTAACTCACTACACATGAAAAAGTCCAACCACAAGATCATTGTAACAACCAGAGGGCACTACCTCTCTTTCGCTGTTTCTCCCTCTTTGCATTGAAGGCTTCACTTCCTCATACCAAAGAGCGCATAAAGCCACTCCCTCTCTCTGGCCACAGCTTTACCTCTGAATTCAGGCATGTCACATTTCTGGACACAGTGAATTTACTTGAAGAGCCACAGTCAGAGTGTGCTGCAAACATGCAATAGAAACAGCTCTGGCTGTTGCAGATGGTGCAGTAGAATCTCAGTGCTGGTATGGCCTTAAGATCAAAAGGAGAAACTCGGAAGTCTTTAACAAGTCAAAAATCACCTCTAGATACTTCAGTATTTGATAAATGTGGTTATATTTGTGATTTTTCAGAACACTTTGACAAGTGGCTGTATTTCTAGCCCTGTTTTACATATGGGCAATAAAGCTGAGATGTTAAGGGATTACACTGACACAAAAAGTCTGCAGAGTGTCAGAAACAAAGTCCTGATCTCAGCTCTGGACAGTGAGACATACCTTCCTCCTACATGTCCAGATTTAGAAAACTTCCTGCATGTGTTAATCTTATATTATCTTCATCAGTCCACATACACATTGTCTAGTTATTGTCAAAAAGTGATAGGTCAAATAAGGCTCACAGCATCATACTGGAGCTCTCCTATTAAAACACACAGCAGAAGGAGAAATCAAGGAGAAATCAATCCAGGCTGCAAAGCAGCCGTGATATAATGGCTATATAATTGAGGAACATTCCTCTGATGGGCACAGAATATGCCTTTAAGGTCAATCAATTAACACTGCTCAGTAGAAATGTGGGCTGGCAATGTTTGCAGTGCCCTACAAGGTCCTCTCATATACCACACAAGCTATGAAAAAGTAATTCTGAACAAAGAAGAAGTCTTCTTTGACAATGTTTTTGTAGCCAGTTGGTTGCCCAGTGATACAGTGTTCTTTTACTGGCGAAAAGGAAATCTCTTTTGTATAAACAGGAAAGCTAGTGTGTATGTTCTGACCCCCCCTCCCCGGACACAATCTTTCCTCTGAAATACAAATAATAAAGTGGTTTATTTCTATACTTTGTTAAAGTAGCAAGACTAACATATCATCGCTGGGGCAACTATTCACCACCTGATATGACGACCCTTTCAACTAGCACACAATCAATTAAAATGATGAGACTCCCCAGGCTCCTCTTTATGACTGCAGGATGGAACTTCCCAAACGGATGACAAGATACCGGCCAGGTCAAGGGGATCCGTGTTCAGGCATCTGTGACCAAGATGCACCCACTGCCAGTTGAGTAGTGCTCAGTTGTCCTTCAGTGAGGATACGCATTCTTCTGGGCATTCCAACAAAAGGAGAAAGAGATGGGCCAGGCTTACCTCATACAGCTGGCCCATGGTAGCACTGGTAGGAGGGATGGTATTATTGACAAAGAAGAACAGGGCATCCTCTGGCCTCAGGTGGATCCGCTTTCGGATTAAGAAGTAGAATTGGCCAACTGAAGGGGAACAGAGGAGAACACCTTAGATGTAGAAAGAACCTTTCTTTTTTTTTTTTTTTTTTTTAACCCTAACCATGGTTATTTTCTTTTGGTGGTGGAAATCAGATGCTGTATGTAAAAAGTAGGGAAAAACTAACAATTTGGGAAAGAAAGCAGTAGCTTCCTGATTGTTACCACAGTACCAGCCCATCCACTTGGAGATGGCAGTTTCTCAGGCCATGTACCCTCTAAATCCACACTCCACCTACTATGGTATGAAATGCTCTGCTGCGGGTGGGAAGGCCTCTAACTGGCTTAACCTTTAAATCCTATAGATTAAAGACACCTTAGAGAGTTTAGCCTCAGTGTAAATGGTCATACCATTCCTGAAAACAAATTCCTGAAAATAAATTCCTCACTGTTTGTTTGAGCTATGTTGCACAAGAATGTATTCCACAATCCATTATATACTGCAAGAAAAAGAAATGCTGTTTCTTTAACTCATTGATGTTCTCAAATGAAAACAAATGTAATCACACACAAAACAGCCATGACCATTCAGGAAAGCAACTTTGTAGCCATGACTCCAACCACAGGCGTGGAAAACAATGGGACTATTTCAAGAACTTGTCTCTTCCTGCAACAAGGATACAGCTTCTGGCAACTCTGAAGCTAGGTCATCACTGACTGATGGTTATGCTACTGCCTATGATACACAATTCAGTCATTTTCATCACGGCTAGAAGTCAGCAGTGACACATACATGTTAGCTAAGTCAGTGAGATGCCTCCAAAGATTTCAGAGAATTCTGCATATTGCAATCCAGGCTGTAAGGTACCTAAATATAACAAGGATAGCCAGGTAAACTGGGGTAACGATAAGATGTTGAGCCTGCCCAGGTATTTTCTCGGTGCTGATCATAGAGTAAAAAGCACTTCTGAGACCTTCTCACTGGAAATCGGGAAGAAAGGAAGCAAACTTTGTTACCTGTGAGGTCAGAAGGCACAAGATACTTCCTTTTGTCTAGGTCAGGTACTCTGGCTTTTGGTGCTTTTTCCACAATTACCTGGAGATAGAGAGTGAGAGAAAGCAAGAAAAAAACCATGAGTATCATAAAACGAGATGGACCAAAAAGCATCAGGATATTACCCTTTGAGAGAGATGGTGCTACAGGCCTTTAGATATTTATTTAATCTATAGCAAATACCCATTAAAGAACAGATAGGTGAGGAGAAGACTTAAAATCACTGTCAATAGCTGTGCTGGGATCCCAAGCCTACAGCAGTAAGCACAGTGAGTAAAAAATGGAGACTGGAACAGACATAAAAATAAACCATAATAGCTGAGAAAAAAAATAAATCAGGTCACCTTGATGGTCCCAATGCAGGTTAATTTTGTATGAAGAGGCTGCCAGGAGGCTAATGCATGAACACAAGAAGTATCACAAATTGAACTGTTTCCAGGTTACAGTTCCGAACTGCCTGGCACAAAATCAGCCCTCATCCCAGTAGTCCCACATCCTAATTGCTACATTCACCAATAATAATTGCTCTAAAATGATGCGAAGAATTAAAGAGAAACTGCAGCTCATTGGGGAAAGTATCCTTTTTTTTTAATCCCTAGTTCTTCAGTAGTCATCTGCTACTCTCAGATTTATAACCCTTAAGGTTATTTCCCTACTTCATATAGCTATTGATATTTCCCTATTCATATAAATATCTAATAATTAAAAAACAGGCTACCATCTGTGCAACTGAACCCACACAGACCTTTGACACAAAATACTAATCCTCATTATATTCTGATGTCATCGCAACATAGAAAAATATGAAGCTCAGCAGCTTTAAGGTCAAACAAAGAGATCTTCTGCTACAGGAAAATTTTTGTTACCAGAAATTTTGCCAGGAAAAATGTTTACCTCAGAGGCAGAAAGTATTCCAAAGTGACCTGAGCTCCTTCCATGAAAAGCCTTGGAAACTTTTCCAAAGATTGGAGGTATGTTTCCATGGAACCATTGGGTTTGAACAGAAAAAAACTGCAGGCAGTTTTGTGGGTTTTTTTTTAGACGTATATTTTTGAACTGGTAAAAGATACATTACACGACTCAATTTAACGTGGCTTGCTGTTTTGCAGATGCCATTTTGACCATCTAAACAAGAAGCTGGATTTTCTGAACCTCCTCAACTTTTTAATTCTGTGAGACCCCTATAATTGTAAATACTCCATCTGAGACACCGTGGGACTAATTTGTAAGGGCTCCACGCTCCCATAGCTTCTTTGCAACCCAAATCAGCAACTGTATCTGTTGTGCAACAGAAAAGGCTGAACTGACATGGACTAAGACTTCTTCGGACGCAAAATGGCATTGTCACATCAGTGAAACACTATGCCAGAAAGCAAAAGTTACGATGATGAGCTTGGTGTATTTAGCCTGGACAAAGTATCGTGCTAACTCAACTCAACTCCTTCTAGAACAAGTGAGTATCTGCAAAGCATGTCACACCATAGAGATGCTAGCTTGGACAGCTCTTCTCTGTGCTCCATTTGGACGATCCCAACACAGCCAAACCCACTGAAAATTCTAAGTTTGTTTCCAAAATAGAAACTTGGTCATCTCTGCTACTTCAAGAACTTCAAGCACCTCAATTAGTACAAGGCATTCAAGCTCTTTAAGACAGTTAGTGGTAAGACATGCATTACTGTACAAGATGCAGTTGGTACGTGCTGTGAAGGAAGGACAGTTCCACAATCTCACTGAACACGTGCAGGCCAAACAGCAACAGCACTTCGCACATTTTCTTACCCGCACACCCAACAAGGCAACACCTATCACAATAAATTGCAGTGGAGAGAAACTTTTAGTTCTTGCCTACAATTAAAAAAAACTACCCACAAGCAGAACTGCTAGTGAGCAGCACTGACGGGACCACCCTGACTCAAAAGGGTGACTTGTAGCTTGGTCATTAGATAATAAAGAAAAAGAAGTCATGCCTATGCCTCTATGAAGAGGTGAGAGTGTTGGGGCTTCTAAATCCCTAGGAAGGATTTAAATCAGACCATCACTGAGCTTAAGAGAGATCTGATTGCGAAGAAGCAGGGAAGGAATGGAGGTGCTCTGCTAATCTGACTATCAGTTTGCCTGACAACAGAGGTATCTCTTCTGAAGCACTAAACCCTTCACACACACAAACAAACCTAAAAAGAAAATCCAGAGGACAGATACAGATTATCTGTATGTCTATTGTTGATGGGTGGGGACTGTAGTAATGTGGGACTGTGCCAACAGTATAATCTCAGCAAAATGCTGAGATGTATCAGGGCACTGCAGTGTAGGCAGCCAAATGGACGTCATCTTCAAGGATCCTGCTGTCGGGAAGGGCAGAGACACAAGTGATGTAAAGAACAGTTGTCTGATGCATTCATTTGCTCTGTACACATCTCTGACAACAGGTTACCCCCAACAATTCACATCTGGGCCTTGGCACATGTTGTCTTTTATCCTTAACTACAGCACAACTTGTTATTTTGGTCCTGGCTTTCTCCATAAAGATCTGCTGATGCCCCTCCATCTTGACCTCTTTTACCTCTTGCCAGACCAGGTCTGGTCCCGGGCTCCCCAAAATGGCTCTTCCGGGCACATCCATCATGATCTGCTGTAGAATCTGCTGTGCTAATCTTCAGTTGACAGCTTGTCTCGCTCCTGACCTACAGAGCCCTCTGCGGTCCTCCTCTTAAAACACAGAACTGCATACACTTCACCATTGACTCGCTCCGTTCTCAACCTGCTGTGCTATGCCAGGGGTCCCCAAAACAGCTAGGACAAATGCACCCACATACTGACTTCCAAAAACTTTTGCAAGTCCAGTTGAGGGTCACTCCCAAGATAAAAAATGGTGTTAGCCTGCAGGCAGAACATGTAGTCTTAAACATTCCCCTTTGCCTTTAGGCTTAAGGGGGAGTCTAAGTTACCTCGCAAGCAGTACCCCTGGGCAGTAAATCTAGGACAGATCTCTCCAGTGGGGATGGAAAGAAAGAACATTTGCAAAACGTTTATTAAAAAGGAACAAAAAAAAAATCCCAAGTAATTTGATCTGTCATTTTTTTTCCCCAATTATTATTAGTAATTATAAAGCTAGAAGTTTTCCACAGGCACTCCAAAGGGACCTAAGGATGAGGAAGCAAAGTTTAGCTAGATGACCTTGTTTTCCAAGTGACGTTTTTTCCACAGGATGATTAAACAGGAGGGCAGAAACACTGCGAAGCATCATTTTTCTTTCATGCACAGGAAAAGAACTGAGCAAGACTGTATCGAAAAGACAGGCCAAAAAAAAAAAAAAAAAGGGGTAAAATAAAAATAAAAGGAAAGTATCAGGTGACACGGATACAGATCTTGTTTTCTATGAGGAGTACCCGGTTAACTCGCTCATTGTTCTCCTCCATTTTTACCGAGCTGATGGTAAGCTCCTTCCCCACCCCCCAACCCCACGCACGCAGGCTGCCAGAAAAAGATTAGCAGCGTTCTCGCTGCCGAGTTACCGCCGATCCCAGAAAAAAGGGTGCACTGCGCCCCGCACCCACCCACGGATACAGACCTTCGCACGTTATCACATAAACAGCCACCCCCTTTGCGCCAAAGAGAAAAGCAGCCCGGAATTCGAATCAGACCCTCAAGAGCCCGGTCCCCTTTACAAATCTCCTTCCTTTTTGCCTTAAAAAAAATTTAAAAAATAAAGCAAGCGGCAGACGACAGCCGACAAAGGAGCACAAAGGCGGCAGAGCGCGGAGGGCCGCCAGGCAAGCGGCAGTCGCCGCCGCTGCCCGCCCCCGCAA